TTTTTTTTTTTTTTTTTTTTTTTTTTTTTTTTTTTTTTTTTTTTTTTTTTAAGGAACCAATAAGATATTAAAGAGAAAATAACCCCTTTTTTATATATAGATAAGAAAGAACGAACCTTTTGAGTCGGGTGAATATTAAGAGTAATAATCGACAGTACTTTGTAAGCAGTTTCGAGCATTCAAGAAGTTGAATGTTGAATTTTCTTAGAAGGGTGACCAAATAACTAGATAATTATTGTTGAATTTCCAAAGAATGCACCACAAATTTATTATGGATAAATGGAACTATTAGGTGATATAAACTCGAGGTTATACAATTACATCTCTTCTTCCCACTACTCTCACTAACAAACCCAGCTTAGAGTGATAATCTTCACTTGAGGCTGCAAGTTAAGATGCCTTACTGGGTTACTCAAGGAAAGTAAAGTTGAATGTCAAAAAGTGAACTTTTAGGACAAACTAAACTATATTTGAGAAAGAAGAATCATGTTCCATATGTTCAAGATACTAGGGAGACACCAATGCAAGCAATCACTACTCTGATTCTGTAGTGGGATCTATGAGCCTCATCCCTCGTATGAGAAAGAGCAATTGTATCAAGCAACCATAGTTATTTTAAAACTTCATCCAATAGTTCAAGTAAAAATACGTCTTAATTTTGAAGTTCATATGATTGAGCCACTGAAAAAAAAAAATCACTTTATTGACATAGATATATAATAATTTTCAGTTAAGTTTTTCTTAGTTATTCTATTTTTAGAATAATTTTTGTTCAAAAATGGTCTCCATTCATTCATATGTCTATCCTAACTAAAAAAATGTTTGTATAATAAATGTTTCACTCGCGTGCTCATGATAAAATTTTCCCTCTAGTTTTCTCCACTAATTCAAAGGTTTCTTCGTCTTACATATCTTATATTTAAAGATTTTTTTTTTTCATCTAATTTTCCCCACTAAGTCTTTAAAATAAAAAGATCATATACAAGAAATTAGAACATAAGATTCCCATAAAAAATTAGAACATAAGATTCCCATAAAAACTCAAGCTATGGTTTGAACAAGAGTTCAAAAGCTCGATGATCTTAATCTTTAATGAAAATATACGTAAATTAACGGTTGGAGATGAAACAAAAGTCTAAAGTTTCTTAAAAATATTATTTTAGAAATGAGGGTTTAGTTGAGTGTCATTAACTACGAAGCTTATGGAATCTTAAAAAACGTTCCTTATAGTTTCGTTGAAAAATAATGAAAGAAATTTAGTTTTTTTACCTAATGAATGATTTAAGTGTCTCCATTAGGGTTTTTCGGAGAGGGTTTAGGGTGTGAGGTCTTATAGACATGAGTACATTTTTTTTTTCTTCCTTATTTTAAGCTTAGAACAATCTTTGGTGGATTTTATATAATGCTAAAACGAGAAAACAACTTTTTGAACGAGTTAATGACTCTCGTCTCAAAGAGGAAAAAAAGTGTCAATGGTACACCTATGGAAAATATTGTCCTCTTTGGGCTTTCTCGTTCGGGCTTCCCTTAAGGCTTTAAAACGTGTCTGCTAAGGAAAGATTTCCACACCCTTATAAACGGTGTTTCATTCTCCTCTCCAACCGATGTGGGATCTCACAATCCACTCCTCTTCGGGGCTCAGCCTCCTCGCTCTCACTCATTCCTTTCTCCAATCAATGTGGAAACCTCACCAAACTCACCCCCTTCAAAGCCCCGCGTCCTTGCTAACACATCGCCTCATATCCATCCCCCTTTGGGGCTCAACATCCTTGCTGACAAATCGCAAAGTGTCTGCCTCTAATACCATTTGTAACAACCCAAACCCACCACTAGCAGATATTGTCCTCTTTCGCTTTTCCCTTCTGGGCTTTCCTTCAAAGTTTTTAAAACGCGTCTAGTAGATAGAGGTCTCCACACTCTTACAAAAGGTGTTTCGTTCTCCTCCCCAACTGATATGAGATCTCACATCTTGGACCTAGATGTCTCCTGCACAATAAAATTTATTAGAAATGATTGGAACGATCATTAGCAGCTACACAAAAATATCACATTCAGTCACCCAGAAAGCAATACATATAAATACATAAGTTTACACATCTATGTAAGAATTTATTTATTTATTTTTATAAATGTTAAAGAATATTATTGCTCACCCCTAAACCCTAAACCCTAAACCCTAAATCCTAAATTTTATAAATTCATGAGTATTTTTTAAATATATTATTAATTTTAGGGTATTTTTTAAACCTCCTAAAAAGTTTGGTATTTTTTAAACCCTCCTAAAAATTAAGAGTATTTAAAAAAATATAAAAGTTAATTAATAAAAAATTGAGATATTTTTAAAAAATATAAAATTAGAGTATTTTTATTAATTTATAATAAATAAATTGGATAAGGCAGGCTGGCGTGGATGATAGACGGACTAAAGTCCGAACTCTCCTCACGATCACCATTCTCATTTTTATTAATTTCTCTGTTTTTTCTTTATTACAAAATCGGATGAATTTAGCTTAGTATTCGGTTTTATTTTCATGACGAAATTCTTAATTGCTACAAAAACGCGTCTGCTAGTGAGAGGTTTCCACAGTCATACAAAGAATGATTCGTTCTCTTGTCCAATCGATATGTGATCTTACTGGTATCATACACACACAATAAAATATAACATGTAGTGGACCTAAAAGTGTCGGTGTTCCTGTCTGAAATAGGAGCATCTAGCATGTAATCCTGATCAAATCCAACGACATTGATCATACAACCTATGAGCGACATTGATCATACAACCTATGAGCGGATCTCAAAACACTAACCATCTAGCCTACAGTCAAAACTTAAAACCCCGATGATCTTGCAAGTGATCTAAAACTAAAACGCAAGTCATCTAACCTGTGACCATAGTGGAGCAATTAACACATTCACTCACGAATAATTGTCATAATTTTATTTCATAAATACCATGGATGTCCCATTAAAGTTTTATAACACTTGTGATGAACATCAAATCAATGAATCATAGGGCAATGTCTAACAATTCCTAGCTGTGGATAGCCTACTCTATTCTAAATTCCTTTCTAGTCGGTAGATACTCGGTCAACTCTTCAAAAATTGCAACAGCTCAAAGCTCACCGCTAACAGATATTAGTGATGAACATCAAATCAAATCAGTGAATCATAGGGCAATGTCTAACAATTTCTAGTTGCGGATAGCCTACTCTATTCCAAATTCCTTTCTAGCTAGTAGATACTCAAACAACTCTTTAAAAATTGCAACAACTCAAGCTACCGCTAACCGATATTATCTTCCATGGGCTTTTCTTTTCGGGTTTCTTTTCAAGATTTTAAAACACGTTTACTATGGAGAGGTTTCTAGATACTTATAAAGAATGCTTTGTTTTCCTCTCCAATCGATATGGGATCTCACAAAAACGATCACCGCTAACAGATATTGTCTTCCATGGGTTTTCCCTTTTGGATTTTATAACGCGTTTACTATGGAGACGTTTCCAAATACTTATAAAAAATGATTCGTTTCCCTCTCCAATCGATATGGGATCTCACAAAAACGATCACCGCTAACAGATATTGTCTTCGATGGACTTTCCCTTTCGAGCTTCTCCTCAAGATTTTATAACGCGTTTACTATGGAGAGGTTTCGAGATACTTATAAAAAATGCTTTGTTTCCCTCTCCAATCGATATGGGTTCTCACAAAAACGATCTAAAAGCTTAAAACAAGGTGAAAAAAGCAATCTAACCTTGACATCGAACCAAATAGGCGTAGCTGAAAGCATATCCTATGTAGGACGGATGCAGAAAGCTTATTTTTGGTTATAATTTCTTCTTGTCACTGTCTTCTAAGTTAAATGATTTATATGCTAATGGTTATAGTTGAGATTTAGTTCTTTTCAGGAAATGTGCAACCATACCAGTTCCCTCTGCCTCCAACTTGGAAACAAGCGCGTGTAGCTAACATTTTATCTGGTAATTACTGTCAACTCAAGTGTGCAGAGCCCTGGGTGGAGGTAAAATTTGAAGAGGACAAGCAAGGCAAAATCCAGGTCGTGGCTTCCCCTTTGATTCGTCTCACTAATAAACCCAATGCCACAATTGAAGACATAGGTAGCCCTGACAAGGTTATTGCTTCTCTTGGCCCTTTTGTTACTGGAAATACGTTCCATCCCGAAGAACTCGTTGAATCATCAGTTGAGAAACTCGGTGATCATACGGTATAATCCTCCCCTATCTTGTAGATTACATTTTTCTTATTATCTTTCTTTAAGCACAGTAATGTTACGTGAGATTCCACATTGATCGGAGAGGGAACGAAGCATTCATTGTAAGGATGTGGAAACTTCTTCCTTATAAGGAAGAATGCTTCATGATCATCAGTTGAGAAACTTGGTGATCAGACGGTATAATCCGCCCTCGTATTGTAGATTATATTTTATTTATTATCTTTCTTTAAGCACAATAATGCTATGTGAGATCCCACATCTGCCGGAGAGGAAAACGAAATATTCCTTGTAAAGGTGTGGAAACCTCTTTTTAGTAGACGCGTTTTAACAATATGTAATGAGTCAAAGTGGACAATATCTGCTACTAATGGACTTGGATTGTTACCTGCTATAAAAATAACTTTGAGATATGAGATTTGCTTATCCTAACGGGAGTAAATTATCTTGGTAAAACACTTATAATTAAGTTGTATATTCAATTTAGACTATTCTTTGTAAAGCTCATTATTATACCTAGAGATTGATAAGTATGGTTAGGAATCACGACTCTCTACAATGCTATGATATTATCCACTTTGACCATAAACTCTCATGGTTTTGTTTTTGGTTTCCTCAAAAAGCCTCATACCAATGGAGATGTATTCGTTTACTTGTAAACCCATGATCAACTCTTAATTAGCTGATGTGGGACTCTCTCTCAACCATCCTCAATAATATATCATTTGAGATGACAAGTTTGAAGTCTCGTTTTTCTTATGTCCTGGTGGCCTTCCTCATTAGCTGATGTGGGACTCTCTCTCAACCATCCTCAATAATATATCATTTGAGATGACAAGTTTGAAGTCTCGTTTTTCTTATGTCCTGGTGGCCTTCCTCTAGGCCTCCTTAGTTGAGATGATAAGTCTGATGAAACACATCGACTAGTAGGTGATGAAACACATTGACTAGTAGGTTTCTTCTTGGATCTATACTTTAGTCCTGTTTCTCCCGACCCATTAATTTCTTCACTTTTTGCTACCAACGCCAATGATATTTTTGTAGTTATTATGTACAAGTTGACCTTTAACTACTTGGTCGAGTGTATATACTTAACTAATCTGAATAAAGCAACCTTTAACACTTATACTTTTGAATCCTGTTTGTTGATGTTTCGACATATTTCGATCGTGTGAATACTCGTTAAAAGCTTGTTTTTATGTGGTTTATGCAGTATTACAAATACACACTGGAAACTCCTTATGCACTGACGGGTACACACAATCTAACCAAGGCAACAGCTAAAGGAAGCACGGTTGTGTTATTTGTGGCAAGGTTTGAGAATCATGCTTGATTCTTTTCAGCTCTAGTTCTTCCTTCAAACAAATTGCAAATCAAGTTATATTCGATTACATTTCATATTTACCTCTATGGAATAAACATTGTCTTTATGATTGAATTTGAAGTTGTCTAGAGAAAAAACTGGCTATTATCTATTTCGTACTAATGGAATAGTATTTCTTAGTTATAAATTCATCGTCTTCCTCTTAATTAGCCAATGTGGGACTACTCCTCTCAATAATCCTCAACATATTGACAAGTTTTATTAATGACCAAGTCTACTTCCAACAAATATTGTCGTCTTTGAGCTTTCCCTTTTGGGATTTCCTTCAAGGTTTTTGAAACTCGTTTGTTAGGAGAGATTTGCACACCGTTGTAAAAGATGATTTGTTCTCTTCTTCAACCGATGTGGAATCTCACTGTAGTTTTCATCTCTTTTAAGAGTGATCATGTAGACAGAAAAGAAGGCATTTTCATACATTGATTAAATTATTTTTTATGTTAACGTTTTCTAATTTTGAGATTTATATCCAATTCGTTCTTAAAATTTTAAAAGTTTTTACTACATTAATAAATGTTTTATTTTGTGTCAGTTGGTTCTTGACATATTCGATTCTTCTTCTAAAAAGTGGAGTAGGATTTTTATGGGATAGTTTTACATTTATATTAGACATTCAAATTTATATTCGATAGATTAATTTTTATAAATTTGGAGTAGGCAAGAAATCTGATAGACACAATTATGTCTACAGTTAACCGTTGAGTTGTGTATGATCTAATCAGGTTGAGTAGCGGAATTTAAATAGAAACGATCACTCTACTCTAAGAAATGCTTTGGGGCACTAGAATTTTCCCCAGACAAAGTGAATTGCAATTTGACATATTATACAATTTAACGTAAGATATTTTAATGCTATTTTGAATTCAAACAAATCAAAACACAAATTCCATATCACAAAATACATTAATCACCGTCCCTAGACGTGCACTTTATTTTCACGTCTTATAAATTCTCGATCAAATGTTAAACCAACGTGGTTTGTATTTGGTCATGCGAGCAGAACTAGCAGGTTCGTCATTATCCATGCGTCGATTATTTCGAAAGGCTGCATAGCCAACAGCGTAAGAGATTACGAGAATGATCAAGACAACGATGTTAATAACCGAGACCTTTCTCCAGCTCTTCTTGATGCTGGCTAGAACCCCAGCCTTGCAAGAGTCACAAGCATAGCAAAGTTGGTGTTGGTCATTGCTCCACCTTGCACAGTCAGGCTCAGGCCCCACGAGCCCTCCCCCAACATCCCAGACTGTCTCGTTCACATACACATACTCACACACTCGGACGCTTGCAGCAACCAGACTTCCAAAAAGGTCTTTTTTTTTTTTATGCATTTTTTCTCGATGTTTTTTTTATGGAAACATTTAGAGATGTTCTGCTTACTCCAACTTATTGGGTGATACAGGTTAAAACATGTCACTCTTAGTTTGACTCACATGTTTCACAACCCAGCTTCAACGTTAGAGGTGCTCATGGATTGAGTTGGATCCAGTTGAGACATCTTATAGCCCCAACTCAATTGTTCGGCTAGTAAAATTTTCAAACCAAAGAACTTTTATTAAATAATGAACTCAACCGGAACCAGCAATAGATTTCTTGGATTATGTTGGTTCGGAATTGTTCAGATCATTTATTCAAATATTTATTTTTAATAAAAGTAAAATATTAGTTCTTAAGATTATAGTAAGCAAAAATATATATTTTTTAATATTAATTCATAACCTAACACAAACCATTTGTAATGAGTTGGGTTGAACAAATTTTTTTTTTTTTTTTTTTTTTTTTTTGAATAAAATAGAATCTAAAATTTTTCAATTTAATCTCAAATATTAAAAAAAAAATGTAAATTTCAAATCAAGAAAAAATGGTTCGAAAATATTAACTTAAAAACTAGATATAAACTTTCTAAAGAAGATTCAACAACATATTTATTCCGACATGCTAATTAATTCTTCATGCTATACTATTTCAAACTTAATAATTTCACTCAAAGTCTCAAACCTCCCCTTAAATTGTTACCCAATTCTAAAAACATTTTTAAAAATGAGATAGTTAAACAAAGAAATAGCTGTTTATAAATTTAATTTTTTAAAACAAAATATTAAGAGTCAAATAGGAGACCAAAGAAGAAAAAATAAAAAAAGAAAGAGAGGAATATAATAAGGTTTTGGGTTATTTTTATATTATTCTCTTCCCAAGATTGGATCTCTAGATTCATTTTAATCATTTAAAATATTCTACATTTTCTTTTATTTTAAATATCTACAAATTTAGACCCCTTTTAAAAAAAAATAAAAATAATACTTACCTTCAAATATGGATTTTTTTTTTTTTTTTTTTTTTTTTTTTTTTTTTTTTTTTTTTTTTTTTTTTTACGGTCAATCCTAAGTTTTNATAGGAAATATTAATTCATACTCTTACATATTTTAAGTATATTAATTTAAATTTTATAATGAATAAATTTTGCTATGTTCAAGTGATGTCTGGTATTAAGAACCAACACATCAAATTAATGACAAATTTTCTTAGAAATGTTGGCGGATAGTCAAGATGCATGGCTACATTAGTGGTTGGATCTGACATATTGAATGACAATAACTCTCTGAGGCTAGACGACCAATAGTATTGTTACTCGAGAAACAATATGCACACCCATCTGGACGAATAGCGCCCTTAGCTTTTATAATACGATATTCCTTTCCTATGTCTTCATTGTTAGGACTCTCTTCCCCCATTGTCATACACATCAAGGATTGAAAATACTTCCTTCCTAATGAATCACTAATAAATGCAATGGTTTTATCCAGTATTCAGAAAAGAATATATTCAGATCACTCTAGAGGGTAAAGAATAGCAGAAAGCAACCTAACTAAATCAATGGAGGAATTCCTGGTAAATCCTCTACAAACACATTTAGGAATTCATTTACAACTGACACGACAGCTATGGGAGTTTCTTTCTTTTTGGTGTTCACGACGGCTAGTATAGCCCATGCTTTGTGTTGAACCAACTTTTTCACTTTCATCATTGATATCACTTTTAGACATAATTTCCATCCATGTACCCTTGAATTATAAGGGTGTAGAAACCTCCCCTAGCCGTTAGGTTTTAAAAATGTTGAAAGGAAGCCCGAAAAGAAAAGCCCAAAGAGCACAATATCGGTTAGCAGTGGGCTTGGGCTGTTACAAATGGTATCAAAGCCAGACACCGAATAATGTGCCAGCAATGAGGCTAAGCCCCAAAGGGGGTGGACACGAAGCGGTGTGCCAGTAGGGACGCTGGGTCCCAAAGGGGGGTGGATTGGGGGTCCCACATTGATTGGAGGAGGGAACGAGTGCCAACAAGGACGCTTGGCCCCAAAGGGTGGTGGATTGTGAGATCTCACATCAGTTGGAGAGGAGAACGAAACATTCTTTATAAGGGTGTTGAAACCTCCCCTAGCAGACGCATTTTAAAAATCTTGAAAGGAAAGCCCGAAAAGGAAAGCCCAAAGAGGATAATATCGGTTAGCAGTGGGCTTGGACTGTTACAAATAGTATCAAAGCCAGACATGGGATAATGTGCCAGCAAGGAGGCTAAGCCCTAAAGGGAGTGGACACGAGGCAGCGTGCCAGCAAGGATGTTGGACCCCAAAGGGGGTGGATTGTGAGTTCCCACGTCGGTTGGAGGGGAGAATGAAGTATTTTTTATAAGGGTGTGGAAACCTCTCTTTAGCAAACGCGTTTTAAAAACCTTGAGGGGAAGCCCGAAAGTGAAAACCCAAAGAACAAAATATCTGCTAGCGGTGAGCTTGGGCGGTTACAGAAACGATCATTATATTTATTATAATGCTACAGTGGTTGCTATTCCTAAACAGGTGTCTAATATCAACAGCTACCAGAGAATGCTCGCCTGACTAGAAAGGGGCCTAGAATGTGTGCGAACCGATAATATTGAGTCACTTACTGAGTATTTCTGAAAAATACTCAGTCCTGTGCTACTTCTATTTCAGGTAAAGGCGAGACAATTTTGTACGGCTGACGACGGCATCACAACTCGAGACCATAATACATGCATAAGATAGTTGTATTTATTTTCTAAGACTTAGGTTAGAATAAGGTGTTTTCTTTTATTGTTTATTTATTTCATTTAGTATTTCGTTGCGTCATTTTAAAGACGTTTTCGAACACGTAAGCCCATGTCAAGATTTCAAGATGAAGTTTCTGTTTTATGATGAAGTTTAAAGGCTTATTTTTGCACAAACAATCACGTTAAGATGACGATAATAACTCTAAATAAATAGAAATCTATGATCATGGAAGGTTTGTAGTGGAAGAGAAGAATAGAATACTAGACATAAAAAATAATAATAAGATTTTAAGCAAATATAAGATCTAAAAATTAACGAAATATCCGATAGACATTTTTCATGTATTTTTCTTTTAAAATGTTCATTTATTTATGGTTTGGAAAAGTTTAAAACAAAAATTGTTTTATTATTTCTAAAATTTATACTCAAATAAGTAACAGTTTCTGGAAATGAGTAACGAAAAACCCAAAAAGTTATAAAAAACATTATAATTTTCCAAAAGTTTAAAAAATAACGAACATCACCAAATAGACCCTATAATAATTAAAATTATCAATTCATTTGTTAACGATATTAGTTTCAATTTTTATTCTTCACTTCAACGTGAATTCAATTTCTCTTTAGGTTGTGATATTCATTTACAGAATCCCAATACGTAAGAGCTCCAAAAACATGACATACAAATATGAGACACAATTATGATACCACACGAACAAGATCTAATGTCATTAAAAAAAAAAAAAAAAAAAAAAAAAAAAAAAAAAAAAAAAAAAAAAAAAAAA